TAAAAATAAAAAATAAAAATATTTTTATTTTTGCGCGACGTAAAATATTTCTGTCGCGCATATGTTTGCGCGACGAATATTTTCCGTCGCTCAAAGATTGCGTAACGAAAACTTTTTCGTTGCTCTAACTTTTGCGTGACGAAAATTGCACGACAAAAATGTCCCGTCGCGCAAATTTTGCGTAACGAATATATTTTCGTTGCACAAATGTTTGTGCGACGCAACATACTGCCGTCCCTGCACATTTTGAGTGACGAAGGCTAATCGTCGCGCAATTTTGCGCGATGAATGGAAGTTTTTGGTCGCGCAATGTCTTTCTTCACGAACTTCGCGCGACGGATGCTGCGCGACGACTTTTCCGTCGCGCTTAAGGTTTTGCTACTACATTCATCTTTGCGACGGAATTGTTTTCGTCGCGCAAACTGTAAAATGAGTAGTGACTATATATGTTCTTTGAGTGATAATTGCACATAACTCCGTTGTCTGGATAGTATTTGAGCAAATTTCCGCTTCTTTTTTTTTTCCAAAAAATATGAACCACATCCTTGCACAGGTAGAAGAAAGGTGAGGCCCATTAAGTTTACACACACTGAAAAAGACAAACCACCAGTCAATATTATTGAGCTGGTGAGCAGAAGTCCGAAGTATGCGCGTCAGAAACCAAAGGAAGTTGAAGACCGGAAGTTGCATTAATTATTGGAACCTCACTCTTAAACTTAATCACATTCACAACAGCAAATTAGAAAATAGGTACCTTCTTATAACAACTTATTCTTTGATCTGAGTATGGCTCCTCTGGCCAACCAACAAGGGCATCCTTCTTTTTCTTCTTCTACTAGTACTACTTTTTTCACTCATGATCCATGGACATATGATGTGTTTTTGAGTTTTAGAGGTAAGGACACACGCACCAATTTTACAGATCATTTGTACAAGGCCTTGTCCGATAAGGGGATCTACACCTTCATTGATCGTGAGCTTATTGGAGGAAAAAAAATCTCACCATCACTTCTCAAAGCAATTGAAGAGTCACGGATTTCTCTCATTGTCTTCTCTGAAAACTATGCATCCTCACGCTGGTGCTTGGACGAACTCGTTGAGATCCTTCGATGCAAAACATCAACAAAACAAATAGTTTGGCCCATTTTTTACAAAGTGGATCCGTCGCATGTACGAAACCAAACAAATAGTTTTGGTGATGCATTTGCTGACATTAACTGTTGATTTAAGGATAGTACGGAGAAGGTGCAAAGATGGAGAAGAGCTCTTAGACAAGCAGCAAGTTTGAAAGGATATACTTGCAAGGCGGGAGAGTATATTTCTTTCTACCCTCTATTGTGCACATATATATGGTTAATTTAGTGACTTGATTCTATTTTCAGGGTCTTCTATCTTTTTCAAGTTTAATGGTTTCTCTCCTTTTTCCTTTGGTTATATTTAATTGTTACTCATTAAAAAAGGTATTGTTTTGAGAAAAATTGAAAAAGTGTAGGGAGAAGATTCAAAAACCATATATTAGCCGGACTAGTATAAATAATACATATCATTGTATACTTAATAAAACGAGTCAATATTGTTTGTGGTTAAGAACTTAGGCTCCATTTGGATGGAAGGATTCCAAATTCATGGATTTAGATTACATAATAAGGTAATCTTGTTTGTTTAGACTAGTGAAATTCATGTATGTCAAGATTTGGACAAGAGAGAGATGAAGAAGATAAATGAATTTCAAATGATTCCTTACATGTAGTCACGTCAAATCTATTTCAAACGCACTACATCTAGTTGTTCCAATATATTCAGTATCTATATTAAATGCACTACATCTAGTTATTCTCAAATCCACATCCCTTCTTTTAAATCCCTCCATGATCCATCCAAATGGAAACTTACTTTAGCGAACTATACAATCAAACTCGGGGGAGTATGACAGTCAGCTGAATAGACTATGTACCTAAATATGGTGTTCTTTATGTGCTTGCATGTTTAAATTTTATTCCTTAAATGTGTCAATTTTTTTTAAATGATAGGTCTGAAGCTACATTTATCGACCACATCGTTGAAGAGATCTTAATCGTAGTATTGAACCGCACATTTTGGAATGTGGCCAAGTACCCAGTTGGAATTCAGTCTCATGTACAAGATGTGGAAATGCTTTTGGATGTTGGTGGGAATGGTCGTTTCATGGTTGGGATATGGGGTGCATCTGGAATAGGCAAGACAACAATTGCAAAAGCTATATGGAATGAAATTGCCCATAAGTTTGAAGGAAGTTGTTTCTTGCCAAATGTTAGAGAAAATTCAATGCCACAATATGGAGGCTTAATCCAACTACAGGAGACTCTCCTTCAAGAGATTCTTTGTAACACCCCGACTCCGTTTATTTTCCTATTTAATTTAATTAAGGGAAAATATTAAATTACTCCTGGGTTAAGGGTGATTTTGGTCACTTTCTTATCCGGGAAGATTTTGGGACCGTGAGTGGTGTGGTTGCGTAGGTGGTACTGGGACAAAACCGTAGACAGGCGGTAGGCCTGAATCGGAGATTTAACGAAGTTTTGGCGATCAAAACTTGTTCGGTGGCAGAACCGTAATTATTTCGAAGTAAGTTTGGGGTAAAATCAGATTTTCACATTTACCCCTCACTTTCTCTCTCT